ACTCTTCCAGAGAGGCCTAAGAAGATGGGTTATCAGAAAATTCCTGGTAGGCAGAGACTCAGAGTAAAGGAGTGGAGTGATTTTTGAGAGATTTTCATCATAAATATGTCAGAATAATCTAAGAGCAATCAGTATTTTTGTAGAGTATGCTTTTCTAGCAAACACCAAGAGAAATCTGCTTTTTTAAAAAATATATTTTTATTGATTTCAGAGAGGAAGGAAGAGAGAGAGAGAGATAGAAACATCAATGATGAGAGGGAATCATTGATTGGCTGCCTCCTGCATGCCCCCTATTGGGGATCGAGCCCACAACCCTAGACCAGAATCGAACCTGGGAACCTCCAGTCTGCAGGCCGATGCTCTATCTGGTGAGCCAAACTGGCTAGGGCGAGAAATCTACATTTTATACCCTATATGAATGTGAGAATTGAGGTCATCAACTCATTCTCGTGGTCAGTGGAATGACAGATGTTGAAGCTAGATCATGTACTATTCAAGAGAGTGAAGCAGCTATGGAACACTTACCAGTGCCATGTACTCTGTGAAGTGCTCTTGCACTCTCTCTTTCTCATTTAGTCTTTACAACAACTCTATGAAATAGATGTTATATATCACTGTTGTGGTTGAATTATGTCCCCCCAAAAGTTAAGTCCAAGTCCTAAACCCAGGTAATTGTGATTGTGACCTTATTGAGAAACTAGAGGCCCGGTGCACAAATTCGTACATGGGTGGGGTCCAGCCTGCCTGCCCCAATCGGGGCCGATCGGGCCAGACCGGCCGGTGGGGAGGGGATGCATGAGGTTGGCTGGCTGGCCCCACCCTGGTTGAACTCCCAGTCGAGGGGACAATTTGCATATTAGCCTTTTATTATAGAGGATAGGACCTTGGCAGATTTAATTAATTAAGATGAGATCATACTAAACTAAGATGAACTCTACCCCAATGACTGGCATTCTTTTAAGAAGAGGACAAGACCCAGAGACACAAAATACATAATGGGAAGATAATGGGAAGACATAAGAAAAACATTATGTGACAGAGTCAAGAGATTAAAATGATGCATCTATAAGCCAAGGAATGACAAAGATTTCTGGTAACACCAGAAGCTAGAAGAAGCAAAAAAGGATTCCTCCCTAGAGACTTAGAAGGAAGCATGGCCTTGCTTGACACTTTGATTTCAGACTTCTAGCCTCCAGAACTGTGAATAAATTTCTGTTGTTTTAAGCCACCCAATTTGTGGTACTTTGATAAGGCAGCCCTAGGAAACTAATACAATCTCCATTTTATAAATGAAGTAATGGATGCTCAAAAATTCTAATTTAGTCTAAAGTGCTTAGAGCTTCCTGACTCCAAACACTTGAACACTTGCTTGTTGATTTGGCCCATTGGGGAGTGGTGGGTGGGCGGGTAGAGGTTTTTCTTTCTTGTCTATCAAAACTATCTTCCAGATATATTTTATAATAACATCAGCATTTCACAAGTAAGACTGTGTAAAATATTAGTTATGTGGGATAGAAGTATGTGTTAATGTGCAAAAAAGTATTCAGAGTAAAAAAAAAAAAGAAAAAGGAAGTCTACCCTGTATAAATCAGACATTTCCCCCCTTCAGAGCCTCACAGAGCTGTTAACATGGCTTATGAATCTGCAAGGGAAGAATTCTAGAGCGTGCTGTGTTTCTCAGGCTGATTTAAACATGGAGGCCACATTACAGCGCATCGCATGTAACTCATATTCTTTGGAAGATACTTTTGGAATTGCTAAGTTAAAGAAAAAAATGCTGTTCTTTTTTGACATAATTTATATGCAAACCATGTTGTCTAAGTCACATCTTCACATAGATCTCTGAAGGGGGATTGAAAAACATCCATACTGCATCAGAAATATACTTACAAACCACCTTTTGGTAGGTTAATTTAACTAATGTTTTTCCATACTTTTTTATTCTTTAGACTATTACATGGATTTTCCCAGTCAGTGTCCTCTAGTCCAAGGGCATTAGGAACATGCCTGTATTTGAATAAAGTTGGATTTATTGTTTTATTGTATCAAAAGAGAATGTACACGTTGGGAAACTGGGATGTCTCAGTATGAAGATGTGAGGAGTTATAGGATTTGTGGTTGTGTTAAGTAATTTTGGAGTAAGATTCAAGAAAGCAAGACATTGCAGAAACAAAAATGGTTATTAATTTTTAAAACAGATTCTGAAAAACAGGAAGCCAGACAACAAAAATATGTCCCCCAAAATCTACCTATTCTTTTCTATATATTCAGGAAGCTTCCCCAACACCCCACCCGAGTCATGGGCTGTTCTGTAGTATTTATGCAGTTGTAATAAGAGGTGTTTACTCTTACATAAATTTCTCTTTGACTGGCTAAGAAGAAATTAAGGACTATGTCATTATCCATGACAACTCTGCCTAATAAATTTACATTTAAACCTAGGCTTTTTCACAGATAAAGCTGGACACCAAATAAAGTGAGACAGATTTAATCAGTAATATACTATTGCAATAGAGAAAAGAGTCCAACAAGAACTGAACTCAGTTTTGATTTTTATAGAGATAAATGAATGTTTTCAAAGAAGAATGAATAGAGGCAGTGCTTAGTAGGTCAGGGAATTGAAAAATTATAAAAAGTTGGAAGGGAAGTTTGGTCCATGTCAAACGCATCTAGGTTTGCGAACTGGTGTTATGCATGTTAGGCTCCTACCTTCCCATCGATGCTGGGAGGCAGGGGCCAATCTTCAGCTGTTAGCTGGGTCACACAGTAAATTCTTTTGACAGCCTTGAGTTTCTCAGGCTGTGTAAGAAGGGGAGGTTAGGGTCATCATACAGACGTGGCCTTGAGCTATGTTAATGTTTTATTGGAGTCTTTATAGGCCAAGGAATCCTAGTTGAAAAGAGAGCTCAGAGGAGCTTGGCTGGAGTTTGATTAAGGAAAGAACCTTTGTCAACTCCCAGAGACGTTATATAATTTATGGCTTTTTCCAGGGTCAGAGATGAGTTTTGGATGATCCTTTCCAGTTGCATTGTCTCAATTCTGGTGGTAGCTGACTGCACAGTTGGCATACCTGGGAGTCAGTTATTAGTCCTGAGAGTTCTCTCGCTTAGCAGTGCTTACCTTTTCCAGAGGTTTCTGTGATGGTTCACTGAAGAGCTGATGGTTCAAAATTCTAAAAGTCTCTAACAATTATCCTTATTTCACAGGCTAAGTTAGTGTGTGACAGGTGGGTGAGAAGTATCCCAGTGAGGCCAAGACTATACTGGTATTGGGAGTTTAAGAATTATCTATCACAACAGAAATGAGTCTTCATTCACAGGTTCCTTTAGTAAAGTCAAACATGTCCCGCTAAGCAGTCTGGAATGCCTTTGAAGAAAATGAAGAAACTGTTTTTATCCAGGATAGGCCTAGCCTTTGTTCCCACTCCTAAAGTGTTGGGTTTTAATGACAGGGTGGTAAAAACCTCAGCACAAGCATTTTGTTGAGGTGGGTTAATGCACAGTTTTTAAAAGATTCAGATTGGGCCATCTGAGGGGAGGGCTCAACACAAGAAAGATGGTGCCTGCCTGTTGGATGTGTAGGAGGAAGGCTTAACACAGAGACAATGGCAGCTGTCCTCCCTACCTTGCCCCGAAGCCATACCATTTAGTCCCTCCAGTACATCTCTGGCACTCCCAAGCCACTGTCCCTCTGCCGGAGCCTAGGGTAAGTGCCTGCAAGTGAGTGAGTCTATTTGCAGGCCCTAAGGGATGCCTGGGTTTCAAACAACCTTCGGTCTCAACGGGCCAGACAGAATCCCCACTGATTTTCACAGCCAGTTGTTGTGGGGACTCCTCTTTCTGGCCCTGGTACTCCAGGCCCTACTTCATCATGGTGTAAAAAAATTGTTTTGTATATTGCTAAAATCTATTTGCTAAGATGTTTACATCTATTTTCATAAAGATTATTGATCTGTAGCCTTGTGTAGGTTTTTTCATAAAATAAATTGGGGTAGGTATCCTCCTCTTCTATTTTCTGGGTGATATTGTATAGAATTGGTGTTAATTCTTATTTAAATGTTTGGTAGAATACTTCAGTGAAACCATCTAGTATTGGCAATTTCTTTTGAGAATTTTTAATTAAGAATTTAATTTTCTTAATAGTCAAATTACCTATTTCATATTGGGTGCATTGGGATAATTTGGATTATTTGAGTAATTAATCCATTTAACTGAAGTTGTCAAGGTTATGTTTGCGAGGTGGTCATAGTATTGCCTTATTTCCTTATTACCTTTTTGATGTCTGCAGTGCCTATAATGATGTCCCCTGTTTTATTCCTGATAACAGTAAATTGTGTTGGCTCTATTTTTCTTTTGTTCATCTTGCTATAGATTTGTCAATTATATTGATCTTTTCAAAGAACCAGTCCTATTGCATTTACCTATATTTTTGCTTATTGTGTTCTTTCTTCTTTTATGATATTCCATGGCTCCTTCTTTTATTGATTCCTTTCTGTTTGGGGAATTCTTTTCTTCATTCTTTAAAGTAGGCCTGCTGGCAACAAATTCTCTTAGCTGTCTATCATCTGAGAATGTCTTGATTTTGCCTTCACACTTAAAGGATGTTTTTGCTGAATATAGAACTCTAGGTTGGTAGAGCCTTCCTTCCAGCACTTGGAAAATGTTGTGCCACTTCCTTCTGTCTTCCATTGATGGTAATCAGAAATCTGCTGTCCAGTAGATTTAGGCCACAGTGTTGCAGGACATTCACATCAACATGGACACTAGGCCAAAAGTCTCTCAAGTTTGAGGCTTCAGCTCCAATCAAATAAATTAATGTATATTCTGTATCCTAGAATTTTATCATGAAATATAATGGAGCATATAGTAAATATGAGCTAATATGTTTTTGATTTATGTTTCAAAGAAAAACTAGTATTTCTCCACACTTCATTAAAACCTGGAAATATGTAAGCAGTGAGCAGGAAGTAACTTTTATGTCTTTTTTTTTTTTTAATCCAGCATGGAGAGAAAACTTATGTCTTTGCCTCTATCCACTTCCATATCAGAAATGGAACCCAATGACACCTTCAGCAATAACAACAGCCACAAGGACTGCCTAATTGGAAAATTCAAGAGGGATTTTTATCCTATTGTGTACCTGATAATATTTGTCCTGGGAGCCTTGGGAAATAGCTTTTCCATATATGTTTTTCTGCAGCCTTATAAGAAGTCCACATCTGTGAATATTTTCATGCTGAACCTGGCCATTTCTGATCTCTTGTTCATAACCACACTGCCCTTCAGGGTTGACTATTACCTCAGAGGCTCCGATTGGATATTTGGGGACCTGGCCTGCAGGATTATGTCTTACTCCCTGTATGTCAACATGTACAGCAGCATTTATTTCCTGACTGTGCTGAGTGTTATGCGCTACCTGGCAACTGTTCACCCCTTCCGGCTCCTCCATGTCACTAGAATCAGAAGTGCCTGGGTTCTATGTGGGATCATCTGGATCCTCATCATGGCTTCTTCCACAGTACTTCTGAAGAATGGCTCTGAGCAGAAGGGTAATGTCACATCATGCTTAGAGCTGAATTTCAATAAAATTGTTAAACTGCAGATCATGAACTACATCGCCTTAGCGGTGGGCTTCCTGCTGCCATTCTGCATGCTCAGCATCTGTTACCTGCTGATTATTCGAGCCCTGTTAAAGGTGGAGGTCCCAAAATCGGGGCTGCGGGCTTCTCACAGGAAGGCGCTTGTCACCATCGTCATCGCCTTGATCATCTTCCTCGTGTGTTTCCTGCCCTATCATGTACTGAGAACCTTCCACTTGGTTGTGTGGAAAGTGGGTACATGCACAGACTGGCTGCAAAAAGCTGTGATCATCACACTGGCCTTGGCAGCTGCTAATAGCTGCCTCAACCCTTTGCTTTATTATTTTGCTGGGGAGAATTTTAAGGACAGACTAAGGTTTACATTCAGAAAAGGGCATGCACAGAGAACAAAGTGCAGCGTTCTTGTTGCCTGTGGTTGAAAAAGGAAATAAGAATGTAAGAGCTTATTAAGTGAGGTTTTTTCTTATATTTCTCTATCCACTTTTATTAAAACGTAGTTTCCAAGTGACCATGTATTTACATCATTCCCAACAAAGGCTATTTCCCAACAATTACTTCACCATGACTTTTACTAGTAAGACCTACTTCAAAAATTTCATTAGGTGCATTTTCAGTGGTTGAGGCACATGAGGAACATAGTAGGGACACTCTTTACTAGAGTTTTGCAATCTGAAGTGTCAGACAGAGACAAAATGCCAAGTACAGTGGGTGCTACTTTTCATCAGATTCTGTACTAGATGGCCCATCAAGGATTCTAAATTCTTAACTTTAAGATAACCCCAACTTATCCAGCTCCTTCATTTCCTCTTCCTTATTCAATCCCCCCTGAGATATAGCCAATTAACAAAGTTGCTGGAGGTCCAGAGCAGATAAAAAAAAAGTATCCTAAGAATTTAGGGAAATGACCTTGATTGTGAAGAGAAAGACTATCCTCCAACAAAGCCAGAGTCAAGGTCCCAATGAGCAGTGAGAGAAAAATGGGGAAGAAGGACAAGGGCACGAGAGAACTGGTGAGAAGGGTGGGAAGGAGGAATCTCTCTTTGCACTGGGAGAGGGACTCTGGCACACTGAAGGCAGGAAGGTTCCTTTCTCTTCTCTTTTTCCAGGAGTGATAAGAAAGAGAGGGGAAATAAGAGAAAGACGGAGGGCATTGCGTAGAATAAGGGAGAAGGGGGACCAGTTTTACTTTTGAGATTTGGGCTCTGACTGACTTCACTGAAGTTCTCAGTCTTGCATGTTAATCCATTGGGTTGGGGGTCAAAATGGAGGAGGTGGCTCTAAAGGTTTGGTTGGGTGCTCAGAGAGGGCGGCGTGGAGGACAAGTTGCAAAGGTTGTGATACCCTGAAATTTTATTAAAACTTTGGCAGAACATAAGTAGGGTGGCTTTCCTTTTGAGATTGTAGAAAAGCTAAGGACTACAACTGCTACCATCATGACCACTGTATGTCCAAAGGAGTGCCCTCTTTATGCTGGGCAGACTGTGACAGGCACTTCACACTCATTGATCCCATTTAATGCTCACACCAAAGCCCTGTGTTTCCATTTTACAGATGAAGAAACTGAAGTTTAGAGAAATCGAGAGACTTGTTCAAGTTCACACAGATCATAAGAGTTAAAAACCTCTCTGACTGGTTGGCTGGGTGCTTGCTTCCTCCCCTGTTCCCCCTGAAAACCTCTAGGAAGATTGGTTGAGAGTCAAGAATAACAGTTCTCTTCTCCAAGCAGGCATCTACCCTTCCTCACTCTTACGAGAAGACTGAAGATGGAGGTTTTCTCTTCTGATTTGCTGACTTCGGGCACAGTGGAGGGTGGGAGGGAGGTGGTGTTCTGCAGCTTGGGAGGAAATGCATCAAAGCCTTCATGGTAAACAAGAGCCCCAGAACCCTTCCCTTACTCAGCAGCCAGAATGATGACAGACTTGTAGCCTGTCAAGACAGGAGCCTGGAGGATCCTCCCATGAAAAAACTGCCCATCCCAAGAAAAAAGATCAACATATACAGACTGTTGGGGATTCCCCAACACAAAGGCCAGGGCTTGCCCTATCTATTAACATGTTAAAGTCTCACTCTTAATTATAAATATTCAATGACCACTACACATTGGAGAAAAAGTGGGGATTCCCCAACACAAAGGCCAGGGCTTGCCCTATTGTCTAGCGTATCTATTAACATGTTAAAGTCTCAGTCTTAATTATGAATATTCAATGACCACTACACATTGGAGAAAAATGGTCAGACTTGGAAAACACCAACAAATAAATGAGAAGATAGACAGAGACATTTTAAGTATGAGAGGTCTCAAATTTGTTATCACCTTTGCACTTTTGATCAGAAATCTACTGGAGGATGTGCTTTTCCAAAATAGCAGGTTAAACTAGGATAGAGGAAAACATAACAGTGTAGGAAACAAGAAATCCAACACAGGAGAAAGGTGAAAAGAATTCCCAGGCTGTTGGTATGTAGCAAAAAACCACACACATGAAACAAATTGGTTTGTAAACAATGGAGCGATTTATATTTTTCTTAGAGAGCCTAGGATGAACTAGTGAAGATAAATAGAAAAATAGCAAGTGAAAAGACAATGCAATTATTAAATACTAGGGAAAACCTGTTTTTTTTTAAAGAAAGGAAATAATATAGTGCATGGTTTAGCTGTGAATAACATTTATATATAGAATAATGTAAATAACAAAATATTATGATATAAACTTTTTTTAAGAAATGAGGGGGAGAGGATTTGTATGAGGGAGAGGAGGAGTGTTAGCAAACTAAATCCCCATCTTGCATCACAGAGAATATATAACTAAAGCTAGAAACTAATAAATAACTGTATAAAAATTTATTTAGCAATAGGAGCTGAAGTCCAGAAGAAACAGTGAAAAGAACTGACAGGGAGTACCTCTGGAGAGAAGTTGCAGGTGAGAGGATAGGGCCGAAACTTCTCTTCTCCTTTTAAGAACTATTTAACTGTGTAACTTGCAAATATGAATTGTTGAAATAAAATAAAAATTAAGTTAAAATTAAATTTTCAAATTAGTTATTTGTGTTGTCTTTTTTTTAAATGAGGAAGAAAAAAAGAAATCCCCCCAGAAATGGAAATTGAATACTGATAGGAGAAAGAAAAGCAGAAAAGAACTAGACTTGGATTTGGAACCCTGAGGGATGCCCATCCACCTCTGCCATGGGAGGGGTGTCACTTCCTGGGGCCAGATGTGATTTGAAAGATCTGGATATTTTTTTAGTTGCAAGTAACAGAAAACACAACTCCAAGTGGCTTAAATAATCATTATCTCACATAACTGAAACATAACAAAAAGAAGTTGGCTCTGTTCAGTCAGGGTTCTGTGAGCCTCCCTCTCCAGGTGTTGGCTTGGTTCCATGGCCAAGGCCCCTCAAGAAAAAGCTGATTGCAAGCAGCTTGGGGCTACATACTTCTTTACTTGTATCCAGGAGAAGAAACAGAATCTCTCCTGCCCAACTCAACTAACAAAAGTCATAAGCTTCCTTTTGGTAAGACCTACTCAGATCACACCCTCAGCTTCTAAACGAAATCAGGAAAGAAAGGATTGCTCCGAGTGAGGATGATATGAGTCTACAATTAGAATTGAGGTTTGGGTTAAACCATTGAACACTCAGCTGGAAAAGAAGTAAATGAGGCTAGCAGAAGCCACATACCCTGCCCTTCAGTGAGTTGGAAAGAGAACGGCCAGCCAGCCAGGCATCCATGCTGGGCATGGCCTGTACCTAAGCAGCAGGCCCTGCAGCCAAGGAAGGTGGAAAGATGCTGCACTTGAAGAAGTTACAGGGGGTTTTCAAATGACAACTAGAAATCTCAACAACTCAACAACGAAGTATAAGATAGTCCATATAAAACTGGAAATAACTAAGAGCAACCAAGGCCCTTGGCATGAGCAGTAATGCAGGGGTTGCAATTTATTAGTGTCCTTAAGTCTATAGTGTGTGTGTGTGTGTGTGTGTGTGTGTGTGTGTGTGTGTGTGTGAGAGAGAGAGAGAGAGAAAGAGAGAGAGAGAGAGCGAGAGCACTTAATGACTTATTCTTCCTTTTTTCAAGACATTTTCTAGCCAGGGTGAAGCATCTCATTTTCTCATTTGGTGAACAATGTTGTCCTTGAGGAAGACAAAATGGGGAGAGAGAGAGAGAAAGAGAGAGAGAGAGAGCGAGAGCACTTAATGACTTATTATTCCTTTTTTCAAGACATTTTCTAGCCAGGGTGAAGCATCTCATTTTCTCATTTGGTGAACAATGTTGTCCTTGAGGAAGAAAACAAAATGGGACTCTTTATTTACCAAAGTGAAAACCTTCCAGGGTTTCAGACACCATTTGTTTTTGTTTGAGAGGTTAGGTACCCCCCAAGCAAGTACATAAACTGTTCAACTGGGAGAAAGGATTTTTGTTGTGTAAACTTTAGTATAACTGTGATACTGAAACTGTGCTTTATATGACCAATTCTCTATTTTAAATTTAATTGAGCTGATTTTCAATTTATTCTGAAGTAGAAATAATGGCAAACTGGCCCAAAACAGGTTAGGAGGGGGAGATAGGCAAGGCGGTGGCTTTCCATAGAGAACTCATTTTTATTCTTGGAAAAAGACTTGAAAGTAGAGACTCTATCAGGGGAGAATGGGGTGAAAGGGGGGTAATCCAGGGAATATACCAATGGGAAATTCTTCCTCTGAGGACATTTCATCCCCAAGTAGATAGAGGCAGCTAGTTGAGCCTAATAAAAGTCAAAAGGAGAAATATAACAAGAAAGGGCTTGTTAAAAAGTTAACATGCATTTCAAAGCTCTGATAAATAAAAAGAGTATGGCACTGGCACACAAATCCACAGAGAGATAAAAGAAACACAGCTTGGAGTGGGCTCTCTGTGAATCACCAGGGCAGAGCAAACAGTGTGAGCCAGGCTGATGAAGACTCCGATATGGCTGCCAGTCAGCCCTGGGACAGGGGGAAGGTACCAGCACAGGAACCCCTGTGAGAACCCCTGTCTGGGAGAAAACCACCCCTGAGTTCCTCCTCTGATGCCAGACAATCCAGTTCCTCCCCGTATGTATCTGGGACTCCCAAAGCTGCCTGATGCTGGAGCTTAGAGGGCTCAAGTCCAAGTAAGAGGAACACCTGGGTCTCCAGCAGCCTCTGTGTCCCTCAGCCACAATCTCCACTGGTTTTTACAGCCTGAAGTTGAAGTTATGGGGACTTCTCTTGCCAGTTCTGGAACCCTGGGTGGGGGTCTGATGTGGGGCTGGGACCCTTTGCTCTTCACAGGTGTCCTACACAGGGACAATCTCCCTCTTGATTTAAAAAAACAGCACACGTGGTTGTCGGACCAACCTGTTTCCCACCTCCCCCCCTCCTACCAGTCTCAATGTGCTTTCTTCTATACTTCTTTAGTTTAGGACTTCCATTCAGCCATATTTCAGGTGGTTCTGAGTGATGGTGGTTCTGTATTTTAGTTGTAATTTTGATGTGGTTGTGGGAAGCAGCAAGTACGGGCGTTTACCTATGCCACCATCTTGGTTCCTATCACCTGTATTTTTTTAAAAATATATTTTATTGATATTTTACAGAGAGGAAGGGAGAGGAATAGAGAGTTAGAAACATCGATGAGAGAGAAACATCGATCAGCTGCCTCCTGCACACCCCCTACTGGGGATGTGTCCGCAACCAAGGTACATGCCCTTGACTGGAATCGAACCTGGGACCCTTCAGTCCGCAGGCCGTTGCTCTATCCACTGAGCCAAACCGGTTAGGGCCACCTGTATTTTTTAAAAGCTTCACTGGTGATCCTGATGGAATATATTTTTATATTCTCTTTTCAGAACCTGGCAGATCTCCAACTATCCTCTTTGGAAGAAATCAAATCATTTTTTATAAACAGTTCTCCATTTCAAATTTAAATGTACCCCAAAATAACCCCTAACTATCTAAGTTCTGTTTCAAGGGAAAATATAAATCAGGAAAAGAAATATGCTTATAGGGAAAGAATATTTAAATATAGAGTTTAAATAGTGTCAGGTCTTATTCAGCTATGTGACCTTAGGCAAAGGATTTAGCTCTTTTTGCCTTAGTTTTCTTATTTGTAACATGGGAATGACAATACAAGCCTAATCTTGCAAGATGAAGACAATATAAAATATGAAAACACATGTCAAATCCTTTTGAAATCTATAAACCCTACAGAAATGCAAGCTATTATATACTACTAGATATTTCATATAAATAGAGTCTTATTACTCAAATTATATTTTAAATGCCTTTATGGAGTCTGCCATGCAAGTAAAATAATCAATAAATTTAATTAAAGCAAATAATTATTTTGTGATGAGTCAGTCCCTAATTTGTTTTTGTGTGTGTGTGTTTTGCATGTGAAATTGGTTATTTTGAATGTTTTGAAAATAGATCATAGTAATGTTTCAACTGAAAAGGTTGCAGTGATTGTAGCATAAGGCAGCACTGGGCAGAAGGGAGCCTGCCCCTCAAGGGAAAAGACAACATCCTAGAGCTCTTCCAAGTGCACACAGGAGTCCCTGGGACCAAATGACTTTAATCCTCTTTGTTTAAGAAGTGGCATCATGAAAGCCAAATTCTTTATGATTCAAAGAAACTGTGGATCTCCTTAACCTCCTCTCAAATGCAGACATCTATAAAGAGCTTCTTACATAATGTATTTAGTAACTACGAAAATACATGAAAAAAGCCATAATCACAAAATAGTTAAAGGAGCTCATCACCATCAAACCAATATTACAAGAAATCCTAAAGGGACTTCTTTGAGGAAAAGGAGAGGGGAAAAAAGAACATAAATAAAACTAATAAAATGGCATTAACTATGCACCTATCAATAATCACTTTAAATGTAAATGGATTAAATGTTCCAATCAAAAGACATAGGATAGCTAAATGGATAAGAAAACAAGACCCATATATATGCTTCTACAAGAGATCCACTTTAGAGCGAAAGACACTCAGAGATTGAAAGTAAAGGGATGGAAAAAGATACTTTTTTATAAGTAGAAA